CCCCAAAACCCCAAAACCCCAAAACCCCAAAACCCCAAAACCCCAAAACCCCAAAACCCCAATTTATTTAGTCTTAATAAAAATAATAGCATTCTCACAGTATGGGCTAAAGTAATGATTTAGATGAGGAGGAAACGCAATGTCCCAGAGCCTAGCTTCAACGGTAGCATGTTTAGCAACCCCAATGTCAACACCCACTTTTGGAAAGAAAGGTGCTCAAACGAAAACCAACATAAGTACAAATCTAATGTAAAAGGCATTTATTTGGGAAAATTGACCAATGTTCCTGTGACAAATGACTTCGCCCAAAACGTGACGAAAAGGAGCTTTGATAACCCGCTTTCAATCCTTGAAGCCATCCGATCAGAGGAGAGTTTCCGGAAGGACAAGTTCCCCGGAAAGAGCATTTTCGGAGCTAAATCTTCTAAAGGAAAACTAGTCCTCCCTATTGAGAAGAGGGAGTTTAATCATTTCTCTGACCGAAAAATGGAGGTTAAGAAGTCTGAATCCCACAAATCGAGTGTTAAGACATATGACGAGCCAAACCAGATGTCGTGGATGACTACCTCAATTAAACTTTCCCAGCCTGAAATTAAGCGTTTCCAATTCTTCAAAAACAAAAATGTTGAGAGAAAACCATACCAGAATAATGAGAAAAGTACGAATCCTCAGTCATTTTTATAGGTATTGTTCCTGAAAATTTTGAGAAAGACCACAATATCAGCAATTATGACTATCTAAGTAAGATCTCACATCGAAATAACAGTGTTGAGAATATCCTTGAGAGGAGATCCAAGATACTCCAGAGTACTGCCAGAGGTCGGATCGAAAAGAGTCCTCACCACAGACATCAAAATAAGTCAATGGTATCAGGCAGAGTCAACCATCAGAGTATGATGAGTCCTATTACACCATATAAGAACTTGCACCATTCTATTAATAAAGAACCTCTGAGAAACACTCCGAGACAGAGCCATATGTCCCTCAAAAGTAAATACAAGAGTAAAATGGGCTATATTCAGTCCGCAATAGGCCTTTAAATTACAAAAAGTGTATTAAGGTACTTCCCAGGCTATTTCAATAAAATAATTGCTCACAGGGGTTTTGGGGTTTTGGGGTTTTGGGGTTTTGGGGTTTTGGGGTTTTGGGG